CGATCTTCAGCTTCTCGCGGAGCTTTTCGATGAAAGCCTTCTCGTCCGGTTCCACAATCCCATCGGCGAGTACAATGTCGCACGCGTTGGCGAACGCAGCTTTGGCCAACTCTTTGGGAAGCGTTGCGGTGCACGAATCGATCAGGGCATCGACCCCTTTCTTTTTCATAAATCCGTGCAGCTTATTCAAGGTTTTTCCGTACTGCCGACCATCGTACCGTTGGTACAGCTTCATGCGGACTAAGCAGGTAATCAAGCTGTTCACTTCTTCGTCAGCTATGTGTCCATCACAGCCGCTGGCGCCCATCAGGATGCCAGCAAACGATTCTTGTGGCGTCAGCTTCGAGGAACCTTCCATTCCTCCAAACAGCGAATCAAGTAATCCCATCGTTTGGATTCCCTTTATCGACAAGTGAGTAGTAGACAGATCGTAGGATGAGAAAGGGTGTTGGTTGGGTGATGTCGCGAGAGACGCGACGTTCGCCAGTCTACAAAAGAAAAGGACGCAATGCCTCTAAATTTTCGGAGAATTTAAGGGGGAAGATTCAGGCAATCACAACCGCATTCAAGCCGCGGCATGCGCTGTGGAGGGGTGGTCTGGGTTTGCAAACCCGGACCACCCTATCATTCGCATGGTTCGGTTGATTCGGTCTACCAACCAAACCAGCCGACGATGCTGAAACCGAACGATCCGGCAACTGCGTAGGCGATGAACAACGCGTACAGAAACATCAGGAACAGCGACTTGCCGCGCGTCAATTGATGCTTGTGCCACAGTACGCCGAGGGTGATCGCCGAGAACGTCACCAGCAGCAAACGCAAGTCGACTAAGCCTTCAATCGGTTTGCCATCTTGAATCAACAAAACCGGTTCCCAGCCGATCAAATACGAGTTCACCAGCAGCGGAATCGAAAGGCAAATGCAGATGTCGAAGATGTTCGAACCAAACACGTTCGAGACCGCGCCGGAGTCGTCGCCCCGCATCGCAGCACCCATCGAAAGAAACGTATCAGGCACACTGGAAGCGGCCGCTGCTAAGATCACCGCAACAAAAAAGACCGGCACGTTCAACGCGTGAGCCGTTTCGTTGGTGACTTCAACCAGCCAATAGCAAGAGATAGCTGCCAAAGCCGTGCATGCCAGCAGCACGACGGTGGCGGTGACACCATTCAGTGGAATGTCGAACATTCCATAGAAGGCGCCCGCGGTGTCGGCTTCGTCCTCTTCTTCATCCTCGTCGGCCGAGCGTTTGATCTTATCGACCAGCGTATGGGTCGCTTTGATCTTTTCTTCCTGCAGCGTGGCAACGATTTGCTCGGTGGGCGTATCGTGACCG